TTCCACAGTCTGCCCCTGGCCTTGTCTTCACTGATGATATGGAGCTTTTCCATCTTCTCTTTCCACAGATGTAGTCTATCTGATTTCTATGTGTTCCATCTGGCGAGGTCCATGTGTATAGTCGTCTGTTATGCTGTCTAACAGACATATCTGTATATACCATACCCTTTATCTCATTGTTTTTAGAAATTCTTGTACCCACAGCCCTTATTTATGGCTCTTCAAGTTTAGGATTCTTTATTGCCTTAAACTAAGGCTACAAGGAAGAATGTTTACAATCACTAAACCCTAAGCAACTTCCTTCACTGCTCTGTGCCTCCATTTCCTGGCCAGTAAAATGGAACTTAGAATGGTCTGTACCAATAAGAGGGTCCCCAAGTACCACAAATGGTGTGCGTTCAATTCCTAGCCTAAAGATTGGAGGCTTACCCAGCAGTACGTACATCGGAAGAAAGGCTTGGCAATCTGTTTCCTGTAAGATTGGTTGAATACCATCCATCCATTCGGTCTTCACTCTTTGGGGACCCCATATACTAAAAGTAGAACTGCTGCATCCGGTTTTCTCGACTGTGATCTTTATGAAAGCGGATTACTAGGCCTTTCACAGAGCCTCCGCATGGGTTCCAAGAAGCCCACCTTCCCATTGTTGTTGGTATGTGCCGTGGAGTCGGTTCTGACTCATAGCAACCCTACATAGGGTTTCCCAGGCTGTAAAATTGGCAGGTCATAAAAAACTGCTTGTACCACTAAGAAAACCCTTTAACCAGTTCCTGTACAGGGTCACTATGAGTAAGAACCGATTCCTCAGCACGTAACAACAACTCTGTAACATACGAGGTGCCATGAGTCACAATCAAATAGGAGCAACATGTTTGTCTCCTCACTGGGTTTTTGTGAAAAAGGATTTTTAAAGACTAGAGTTGCACAGTGGTTAAAGTGCTCACAGCTAGCCAAAAAGCTCTGTGGTTTGAAGCCACCAGCAGCTCTTGGGAGAAAGATGATGCAGTCGGCTTCTA